TTCCCAATGTATGAGTTCAGGGGCTTGAAAGAAGAAAAGGTTTCTGGAACGTATTTCTGGACAGGTTTGTGAGTTAGAATAGTATAAAAGAAATATTTATTCCCACATGGTGTAATACTACTGTAACTAACTATATGACCTTGGACAGGTCACATCACTTCTTTGGCCTCAGTTTCCTCATCAGTGGGTCAGACTATATCCAGAATTCCTAAACTTCTTTTGTCACAGACCTCTTTGGCAGTCTGGTAAAGCCTATAGATTGACCTCTTCACAATTTTTTTTAATTGGAATGTAATGCTAAATTTCAATTAGAAGTTAGTAAAAATAAAGATGTGATTTTTTCCCCCATCCAAGTTCTCAGACTCCTTCCCCCCAAAATCTGTCAGGAACTCTATCCATGGATGCCAGGTTTAGAAACTGAATTAGATAATCTTCCAGGTTCTTTCCAGTTCTAAAATTCTGTAACTCTGAATGTTCTTTCTCAACATCACCCCCTCCAGTACCCCAACAAGTACTTCATACTTTATAAATACTTATAAGTCCCAGCAGTCTTTGGCATTTATATATACCTTTTTTTTCAGGTAACAGTTACAACATTGGAGGCCTTTAATATATTAAAGAATAACTTAAGAAAAGCTACATTGAGATGTAGTGATTTTGGGGTAATAAAAAACACTTCTCTAAGTATTAATCTAAACTTCCAACTATTTATTTATAGTTTCTACTAATACATATGTAAAGTGCAAATGCCTCAGCCTGATCTTAGTGTCTTCCCTCTGTGGTCCATCCTATCTGTATCTTATTTGTCCATACTTGTTTGCATATTTTTTCCCACATTAAACTGAGAGCTCCTTCAGCACAGGGACTACTTTTTGCCTTTCTTTGTATCCCCAGCATTTAGTACAATGCCTGGCTCTTAATAAGTGCTTGTTGACTTGAATTGTTGACTGAAGAATCATCATGATGTAGAGTGGTCCTGGGTTCTTTAAGGCTATGCTAGAAGATAATAAGCTTTGGTAGTTCCTTCTACCAAATAAATGTCTAATGATGGCCATTATCCAGTATAGCTATTATCCAAGGGTCAGCCTAGCTAAATTCAGAGGTTCACCTCTGAATTTAAGGCTATGCTAGAAGAGAATAAGCTTTGGTAGTTCCTTCTACCAAATAAATGTCTAATGATGGCCATTATCCAGTATAGCTATTATCCAAGGGTCAGCCTAGCTAAATTCAGAGGTTCACCCTTAAGGCAATGAATTTTTCAGCCACAGCAACTCCCAAAGGTTATGTACCAAGACACGGAGAAGGTGTGATCTGCATTAATAGAAGCAGGACACACTAATGAAGTCATGGTATTATTTAAGTGCCATAATAAGAGTGGTTTCCCCAAGTTGCTGTTGTTATGCTGCTAGATTATTTGTATATTTTTACCCCACTTTGGAATTTGTTTAAGATGATAAATGTGGCAGAGATTCTGGTAGTTACTTGGACATTGATTGCATTTTAGAAACAAAGGAGAGTATACATGGACCAGTTAACTCAGTTGGCTAGAGGCCCATGCTAATGAGGCCAAGGTCATATTTTAAGATCTGTGTGGGCCAATTAGCTTCACACAGAGTAAACTCCACTTCGGTAACCACAGAAGGCATACCTAACCCCAACCAAGCCTCTCACAAATGTATATGCTTCAGCATAAGAGTGACTAGGTGAGAGAACATAGATGGCTCAATTTAAAACTATCGCCAATACTGGAAAAACAAGTTAATATTTTGCTGGGTCAATAACACCCTATTCCTATCTGAAAGCATTCACCTTACCGATGTAAAACAGACAACAGTAGATGATGCATTCATAATAATAGCTCACATTCATGGTGACAAATGCATGGAAAGAATTATAGAGGCACACCTAGAACCCAAAACACAGTGTGACCTTTAATCAGGACTCTTATTCCTAGCTGTCTGAAAAGCAGTTTTATCTTTACCTGCTCAATGGATCTCACAATGCTGATGCACTGCTTTAATTTGGGAAGGCTTTCTCTTGAGAGGAATGTCTTTCCTTGCTCTAAGTCTCAAGTGCTCCCAAGTGTGGCATTCTCTGTGACAGATGTACTATAGTTATGCTTTAGCTGACTCAAAACCCAGAGTTCTCCAGTGCCTGAGTGGTCTTGCTGGTGGCCAAGAGTGTGTTTCCTTTGAGAGCATGTCTTTCCTGGAGCACCATCTAAGAAGGTGTGTAGGTATAGCCCCTTTGTTCTAAAACAGCAACTGTTAATTTTTGTAAAACGCCTTGGGGTTATTCTTTCCTGACAGTCAAAGAAGGAGGTGTGTAAGTATCCATAAGCTCAAGAAGCATTAAACGGATGTGTAGAAGTGCCCAGTCAACTCCCTGAGGACATGCCATCTCCATGAGATTCTTTCCATGATTTCTTTCATTTCAGAATGTCAGTTTTCTGGGTCTATTCCATTTTCATAGATAGAGTAGTGTTTTCACTCTGCAGGAATTCCCTAATGATAAGAAACATTGAATATAATCAGCAAAATCTCTCTCCACAATACCCTGGTTTCTCTAATTTCCTAACCTGCAGCCTCTTGCCTTGGAGAAGTTTGAGGATCTTGTTGTTTGGACCAAACATTTTGACAGGAAAACTAGCCAACTCTATATAATATCCATCTGTGATCATTTCTGAGTATCTGGTTTCCTGTGATGTAGATTGTTTTTCTTCCCCGAATACTCACCTCCATCTTTGTCAGCACCAGATCTTGGAAGCAAAGCTGAGTATAGCCACAGGCTTTTTCCATCAGAATGCATGCCACTTGCCTTCTCCTGGGAGCTGAAGCCTCTCCTGCCAATGTCTATATTGGCTAAAGAAAGAATTGCTTCTGTAAGTCTTATTGATGTGAGATAAATGAATTTTTCTCAACCTGCCAGACAGGTTGAAATCTCTTGATGTCCTGGTGGATCAGTAAGGTTAACTATCTTTTTATAAAAAGTTTTCTATCAATCTTATTCCTTGAAACAACTGTATATTAACTACTCCTGTGCTAACTTTTGTTTAGGATGCCTCTCTTAAATGATTCACAGCCCTTAAAGTTAGTGGTAGTTCATATTTAAGTAAAGCCTTCATAAGAGTACAGCAACTCACATTTATATATAATGCCTTAAGGTTTGTAAAGCCAGACAAGCAGCAAGCATTTATGAAGCACTTATTATGTGCTAGGCACTGTGCTAAGAATAAAGTGTCTCTTCAACAGAAATCCCTTGAAGTGGGTATTGGAAGTATTATCATTCCCATCTTACAGATGAAAGAACTGAGTCTCAGAGAGGTAAAGTCATTTGCCTGTCGTTTCAGAGCTAGTAAGTATCAGAGGAAGGATATGAACCCCCATCTCTTTTTTTAAGTTCTAGCGCTTTTTCCATGCTATCACACTAATTAATCCTACTACATGGAACAAAAAAGAAAAATTTTATAATTAAAAGAGGAGGAATTTAAAGAATATATGTGATATATGCATACAAATATGTCATTTGGTTAGCATTTTTGTGGGTAGAGTTAAATATCTATATTGGACTATTCACTATTCTCTTTGATAGCTTTTTATTTGTGAATATATGTTTACTATTAAACCTTGAAGGAAAAAGAAAATAATATTACATAACAGTTTCTAGCACAGTGCTATGCACATAGGCATTTAGCAAAAACGTGTTGAATGAATGAAGGTACTGTGCATTTGGAACTTTGTGACATCTCGTTGAAATGCAGAGGGTAATTTAACCTTAGAATTTTATAGACTCAAAAGAATGGTTCCTTATCTGAAAAATGTTAACATCATGAGGACAGATATGCTATCAGGAGCAATGGCATGTTCATTGATTTCCTAAGCAAGGGAAAAAGTGAGAACTGGTAGCAGCCATATGACTTACAAAGTGGAAAGCAAGACCTTGTCTTCTTTGACCACCTAACCCAAGATATAATCACTTCTATTATGTGATGGAACATTTCATTTCCTTCAGATGCCACCGAATCATGCCCTTACTATGCGATGAGAGTGTAGGGATGCTACACCAGAAAGGCTCAAATCTGAATGTAAAAACTCAGAACTTGAACCAGGGATCCAGCCCGTTACACATGCATAAGAGATGCATTGTCAGAATGATTACTCTGTGTGAGGGAAGTAGTTGGTGAGAGCTCAGGGTGAGGACATATATCATTCCAGGTTCTCATCAACTCAACCCCTCATATGCACATACATTCAGCATTGAGTAATAATTCTCTCCATCAGTTAAGAGAATCTGATACAAATGTTACAGGTTTGAACCCTAGGTTACACGAAGAATAAAAGAAACCTGAGAGGTAGAAATTGCAGGAATAATAACATATGCAAAAAAACTGTTCCCCTGTAAAAATCACCTCTTGATATTAAGAGAAGTTGATAGGAAAATGGGAATTAAATTTGCCAATTTAAATTTCTTAGGAGAAACAGCATTTACTTCTTCTGGGGATTCAGAAAAGCCCGGACAGTCTTGATTGACACATTTAAAGTAACTGTGGTGTCTCTACGGAGAGAAGCTTCACCTTTTTTTTCAGGGTTGGTGGACATGTTATGAATGAGAAAGCAATGTTAACACTGTTGTAAAACCAGGTCTGGTAAATCATTGAGATTATGGGGTCAGCTGACCATATCAAAGTTATCCAAACACTTTATGTTATATATGATCTGATCTCATATCGTTCCCCTGAGCAATTAGTACACTTCTATAAAAATGTTAATCGCCTTGAGTGAACCCGAAGGTCCTCTTCTTGTAATGAGTTTTATGATATATACTGGCCAGACTTTGTCATTATGACATATATATGTTAAATCAATACGAAGAATTCATTTCAGATCCATATCTTCCCACAGCTGAGTGGTAAATGATAATGTGCTAGTGCGTCTTGACCACTCATTTAGATGAGATTACAATTACTCTAAATCTGTTTTAATGTTCTCTTTTTTTTCCAG